CTCCTCTGCTCTGCGCTGAGCACACCCAGGGGCCTCAGTTGCTCCTCACACACCTTGCCCTACAGACCCTTCCCCATCTTTGCAGGGTTTTTTTGATTGAAGTCCACTTTAATTTCTGTGGCCAAACCCAACAAAAGCCACAAGCTCGTTGGCCATTTCCAGAAGTCACTAGAAACATTCACTGCATCAACAACAAGGCACTACAAGAGGATTAAATCTGACTAGCAAGGGAAGAGTGAGAAACCTCATATTACAGCTGTGCCCACAGCACATGGGAAAGCAGCAGGAGTCCTCACAGCCTGTAACTCCGGAACTTCCGTTTTCAAAAGGAAGAAAGTGATTAATCACAACCAAGCCAGCACGAAAGTGTATTGTTTTCTGGGAACAGAAATAAAAAAACAGCCTTTTCTTCCACTGCTACATTAGTTGTTTATCACAAAAATTGATAAAATTTCTGTGAAACAGAGAACAATGGGAAATCATAAATGTGCAAAACAAGGAGCCTTCTCTGTGCTTAGCTTAGAAAACTATGGCTGTGTTTACAGCTCAACAATATGGTCACATCACTCTTTAAAAATTCATCATTTCTTTGTGTTTCTGAATTTCTCCCAGAAAACTCTACTTATGGATATGTGTTTCAGCCAGGAAAGAGATATGTCTGCAACAAACATGTATGCAGTTGTCAAGACAATCATCTGAAGTCTGTTATTTTAAAATAGCGTATTTCATCTTTCTTCAGTACATAGAAGTTAATTTAATGATATCACACAGGTACAAGTGAAAACAAGAACTTGTTTTTCTGGAAATGTAAACATACTGAAGTCCACTGCAAGTGCTGTGTCATTTCACACAAATGCTTGACATCAGAAACGCCCTGGTAATCTGTAAATGCATAATAAAGGAAAAGGCTATGAGCACTAGAACATGAATCGTATTTCCCCCACGTGTAATTTAGAACCTTCGTCACAAGGTCGCTCTTCTCAGTTCTTTCTGCCAGAGCTAATGACTTGGTAAACCAACAAGCTAACCACCAACCACCACCTCCGCCCCAAACCTCACATCTCACCAGCTCTACATGACCTGACAGTGAGAACTTGCATGGCCACAGAGGACGTAACAGCAGGAATTTCAAGCACAAAGAGTATTTATTAAATCAGTCATGAGAACAAGTTTAAATATCTCGCCCCACTGTTCTTATTTTAAAGAGAAAACTGACGGACTGAAGGATGGTCAGAACAAAGTAACCCAGGGTCCTGAAAATCAATTTTACAGAGAAACATTACAAAATTTTGCCTATTTACATCTTTTCAAGAAAATGGTCAGAGTTGCCTTGAACATAGTACCAATAGAGGAGGAGATTTTTGGTATTGCACATGTGAAAAGAATTACATTAATAGTTGAGTGTGATGAAAAGCTGGAAACTTCAGGGGCTATTTCTAAGTCTGCGTAGTATTTCAGGGATTTAAACCACTACTGAGCTGTTCAGATAGCTGTCCTAAAACTCAACTGACTCTTCAGGAACCAGTTTCAGCAATGACACTGTAGTAAAAGCTCTTAACTGTTAAACTTTCAAGAAACACGGTGTCGTTTTCAGCTGAAGTCTCAGCCATGCTGATTTAGAAGAATATATCCTTGCACAGTTGTACTTCTGTTTTCCACATGAAAAACACCATAACATTGAGTCCTACTGCCCTGATTTGGAGACTTGCAACCATCCACGCTCTAATAATAAATACCTTTGTAAACCTGTTAAGTCTGACAAACGTGGGAGTAATAAGCTACATTTTCCTTTCCAAAATTTTCCAAGCACATCATGACTAGACGACCTTAGTGGTCTTTTCCAACCTTAATATTCTGTTTGTTACCTCCTCCATGCCAGCACCCCACGCAGCCTCACTCTTTTACTATCTAATCTAATATCAGAGACATTAAATTCACAAGCCTGATTATGAAATATCTGCACTCTTACTACTCTTCTAAGAAAGAATATGTCATTTGGTTGAAAAACAAGTTGCTTCTGTATCACCTGTTTAGGAAAACGGTGACAACTAAAGCATTATCAAACATAAATCACGCAAAAGCAGTTAAGTTGCTGGACTAGTTAGTCCTTTTGAATCGGCTTCAGCTGCCCAGAGCAGCTAAATCATGTCTGAAGACAGCTCACCACCCAACTTTATTCAGTGAAGCACTCAAAGCCTGCAGACTGAATGCTACTAGGCCTGGAATACTCCCAGAAATTCTTCCTGTTTCTCATTTCTTTCTTAGAATTAATAGTCTCATCAAAATAGCAAACAATTTAGGCAGGTTGCAGTGGCTCAAATCACATCTTGCTCTTCCCCTCCAATTTGTTTTTTAAAAGGTTGGTAGTGAAACATTCATAGAACCAGCAAAATCAGTACCCCGAGCATACTGGTTTACAGAAAGTGGTCTAGCCCATTAGAAGCAGTGTGCAAATAAAAATTATTGTCTGAGACAAAACTAGTATTTAATTTTTTTTCTTTCAGAAACAAAGTTCTATTTTAACCCTGCCACATATCTCAGACTAAAATTGCACAACACTGGGCCATCCCACATCAAAGGCTGCATCTTGGACTTACACGGGTGTCCCAGATAAGCCTCCTGCAGAACCAGACTTGCAGTCCAAGCAAACCATTACCTCAGCAGTCTGCTGGCCTGCAGGCTCTGCAAACGCAACTCGTACAGAGTCCCAAGTCTCTCACAACAGCTAACAGCTGTGGGTATTCATTAAACCAGAAAATTAATTTTAATTCCCCAATACTAAGTGACACTATGGTACAATCACTTACCTCCCTAATGCCATTCAATTTAATCCAATAAATATTAACATTGCTAGTGTCTCAAAACAGACATTCTGTTTTTCTACTCTGAAAATTATTTTCCATTTTTGGGTGATGAAAAATGTAAAATGAAGATGCAGCCATGCATACCACTGGTGAATCTCTATTCAGATACATGTATGAAGGAGATACAGAGCAGGTGGGATGAGCAGAGGGAACAGAAAGGGAATCTTGGTGAAATAACAATGAAGAAAGGGATCAGCTAATACAGGGGAATAAGGTAGGAAAACAAAAATACAAAGAAAAGTCCATGACGATACAGAGTAAGAAAAGAAATATGCAAAACATTACAAGGAATTAATACATCAGCCTACTCTGTAAAATGAAAAGAGACACAAGGAGTGAAATATGAAGCAAAATATGCCAAAAACGATTGCATAGGAAATTATTGGCCAAAGGATGATTCAAAGAAAAATCATTTGAGAAATTTTACAAAGAGCGAACAAGTGATTTATTCACTATGTCAGAAACCAGCAGCCAGCTTTTAGGGACTAATCCAAAGTATCTTGAGCCCAGAATTCTTCTCACAGCTCTTGCAAACGACCTTTTACACAGCATTCTGCAGTACCTACAATTTCTTTTTTCTAGTCCACTTCAACACACAAGGCAGCCAACTGCCTTAAACCACTGAGCACCACAAACTTCCACAATATATATATGGGCAAAACAAGAAGAACACTGCTGTCAGCTGAGGACATGCAGCTCGCTGTGCTGCTGCTGCAGAGAACTGTTGGATTCTATTTGATGATAATTAGCAGCAAAGAAGCAAAAAAGCAGAAACATCTTGCTCATTTTCCAGTTGTGAGGAGGTGATTTCACAGGGACTTGCATATGTCAGAAGTCCTTTCTTTCGCAGCAGGTGTTTAAGTAACTTGAGAATGTGACATGCTTTGTACCTGCACCTCCTGCACTGCAGGTAAGGGGAAAACAAAGTAAGGAGCTGAAATCTGCTGCAGCACACTGAGATGTCTGTGATAAGAGAAAATAATCAGCACTGACGCAGTGACCACTTTGCTTCAGTAGACATGCCCTGAGCTGGCTGTGAGCCACTGGGGCACTGTGTTTCCTGGACAGCAGCAGTCAGCTGCAGTCCATGGCCCTTCTTGTCCACACCAAGAGCAAGGCCCTGGGTGTGAGGGGCAGCAGCTGGCAGCGGGTGTCTGACTGCAACATGGATCACTTTCTTCTTCTCCCCTTTAATTAGTCAATGCTGAGCATTGTGCGCTGTTCTACCGCTACAGCAGCTGCCAGAACTTTCCCAGAAGTCAAAACTTCAAAACTTGGAAGCACTGAATGCGTGTATCTCAAGACTGTGTGCAGCCCGATTGTGTGGTAAGGTCAGACTGCACTCTGAGTGATTTTGCATTCCTTCTGTGAAAGGACTGAGAACAAAACCCTTCCCACAACATACTCAGAAACACTTCAATGATTGCACAGCATGTGCCAAGCTAGGAAATCTTATTTGATGTCACTTTGTTACTTGAAAACCCAGGGCTAAAGCACTGTTCCTCGTGAAAGACCAATCTTATTCTTCTGCTTTTAGCTCTCTCCTCTGTGAAGCCTTCCACCTCCGTGCTCCTCTCTTTTCTTCACAGACCTAGTGGGCCCTCCAGTCCCACTCCCAGTCTCTGTTGCTGCTTTACTACCTCTCTTCACACTCTTCGTGCAACCTCAGTCAGCATAAAACATTTTGTAGTGCTTCTTAAACTTCAGCTCTTAGGTTTTTCTCCTTTCAGTATCTTACTGGCTTCCCACAAGCCAGCCCAGAGGAGAGTTACTCCGGCTGCTGCGAGGAGGTGTCAGTATCTTTCCTCATGTGACAAGTGACAGGATGCAAGGAATCATGTCCCAGGGGCAGTTTAGACTGAATATCAGTGACAATTTCTTCATGGAGAGGATGGTCAAGCATTGAAACAAGCCACTCAGGGAAGAAGTGGGGTCCTCATTCCTAAGGTATTTAAGAGGTGTGTTGATGCAGCACTAAGGAACAAGACTTAGTGTGAGCTCTCATACTGTTAAGTGATGGTGATCTCAGAGATCTCTACCAGCCTCAGTGCTTTTATGAAAGGAGACTCCCAGACTCCCAGTCTCACTGTACTCCTGAGAGTGCATTGGCGGTCTTCCATTCATAGAATCATAGAATTATTAAGATTGGAAAAGACCACTAATCATCAGCCTATCCCCACCACGCCCAGTAAACATGTCCCTCAGTGCCACATCTCCACATTACTTCGACACTTCCAGGGACAGGGACTTCCAAGCCTCCCTGGACAGCCTGTGCTATGCCTTATCACATTTTCTGAGAAGAAATGTTTCCTAATGTCCAACCTGAACCTCTCCTAGTATAACCTGGGGCCATTCCCTCATGTCCTATTGCTGTTACCTGGGAGAAGTCGCTGACTCCCACCTCACCACAGCCTCCTTTCAGGTCATTGCATGAGCTTCCTCTTCTCCAGGCTGTCCCTCTTCTCCAGACTGAATGATCCCAGCTCCCTCAGCCCTACTCCCCGGGCAGCCTCCCACACAGTCACACTGCATAACACCGCAGTGGGACAAAACCAGGTACTTCGCCTACCGGCATAAAATCCAGAGATTCCTCCGCCCTGTGCAGCCAGGGCGGAGGAATTCTCCCTAAAAAACAAACAAACAAACAAACCCTCCTCTCACTCTGCCTTACATGCATGCTTTGCATTGCTAAGGTGCGAAGCACAGCAGAGGACTTCATTTCACACTCACATTCAGAATTCCAGCCTTAACACACTGAGGGGTACTGTGCCCTCAAAGCCTAGGAACCCATCGCTTTTCCTTCATACACAGAGCAGCATTTCTCTGATATCCAGGATGCAGCGCATTTCTGGAAACACACAGCACCCTCTGAGACCTTCCACAACATCTGTAACCCCTGGCAGCCTCGGCTGCCCAGCTACGAGGATTCCAGTCGGTTTCCAACCGCACCGGACCGGACCGGACCGTTCCTCCCCGGGAGGCGGCTGCCCGGGACCCGCACCCCGCGCTGTCCCGTCCCCGCTCCCCTGGCAGCGGGCAGGCGCTGGCAGCCCCCTCTGCTCCCCGCGGCGGGACTTACCGGCTGCCCCGCGCCGGCCATGGCCCCGGCAGGAACGGAGAGCGGCGAGACGAGACGGAGCGCCGCGACAGACCCCTCCCATCCTCCGCAGCCCCAGCGGGGACCGGGAGGAGCCGTTCGGCGGAGGGGCGGGCGCGGGGGCAGCGCGCACCCAGCGGGCGGCGGGGAAGGCGGTCGGACGCGGGGCCGCACTACTGAGCCACCCCGGCCCCTCCCGGCCGGAGGAGGGCGCGCCGGCGCCGCGGCTCTGAGCGTGGCCGCGCACGGCCCGGAGGAGGGGCCCGGGCGGCAGCGGCGGCCGCGCCGCGCCCTGGGCGGCAGTCAGCGGCAGCGCGATGGGGAAGCGGCGGTGATGGCGGAGCCCGCCGAGCTGGGCCAGGAGACGGTGGTGCGGTTCCTGGCGGAGCGGGGCGGGCGGGCGCGCCACGAGGAGCTGCGGGAGCATTTCCGGGGCTGGCTCAGCCCCCCGGAGCCCGAGCGCCGCGCCGCCGCCCGGCAACGCTTCAAGGAACTGGTCAACGCCGTGGCCACCGTGCGCCAGGAGCCCGACACCGGCGCCAAGTACGTGTGCCTCCGGCGCCGGTACTGCGCGCCGGGAGCCGCCGGCGCCGTGAGCCCCGAGGCGGCGGCGGCGGAGGGCAGCGCGGAGCGGCCGAGCCCACCGCCCTCCCCGCGGGCGGGCGCTGAGCGGGAGGCGGCGGCGGGCGGAGATGCCGGCGACCGCGCGGAGCCCGAGGGGCGGCGGGGCGAGGCGCCCCGGCCGAGCCCGGCGGCGGGCGGAGGGCAGCGGAAGGGCTCCCGGCGAGGACCGGCGCCCGGGCGCGGCGGCGGCGAGGAGGCGGCGGTAACGGCGGAGGAGGCGGCGGAGGGGTCCGGCGGGGCGGCGGGCGGCCGCAAGAGCCTGCGGGAGACGGCGCGGGGCGGCTCGCCCCAGCTGAAGCGCGGCGTCCCGCCCGGAGGGGGTCGCGGACGCGGCGGTGGCGGCGACTCGGACAGCGCCTCGGTGGCCTCGTCCTCCGCCGAGGAGGAGGGCAGCACGACGGGCTCGGTGGCTTTGGACCCGCTGGAGCACGCGTGGATGCTGTCGGCTTCGGACGGGCGGTGGGAGACGCTGGAGGGGCTGCTGAGCTGCGAGCCGGCGCTGTTCTGCAAGAAGGACTTCATCACCGGCTTCACGGCGCTGCATTGGGCCGCCAAGCACGGGCGGCAGGAGCTGCTGGCCACCCTGGTCAACTTCGCCCAGCGGCACCAACTGCCTGTGGACATCAATGCGCGCACCAGCGGCGGGCACACGGCGCTGCACATCGCCGCCATGCACGGCCACACCGAGGTGGTGAAGCTGCTGGTGGGCGCCTACGACGCCGACGTGGACATCCGCGACTACAGCGGGCGTAAGGCCGCCCAGTACCTGCACCAGGGCACCTCAGAGGACATGCGGAGCCTGGTGGGAGCCCTGGATGAGGAGGAGGAAGAAGAGGAAGGGGCTGCCGGCAATGGGAGCGTGCGCTGGAGGCTCTCCAAGGTGTTGCCCTCCAACCTCATGAGCTACCGCCTCTCCCACCACCATCACCACCATCACAGCGCTGGGGAGGAAAACGAGGGTGCCGATGGGGCAGCGGTGCCGGGTAAGGGCAAGGAGATGGCCAGGAAAGCCTCAGGCAGCGGGCGGATGAAGCCTCGGCTTAATAAGATCCGCTTCAGGACTCAGATCATCCACAACACGCCCTCCTTTCGTGGTGACACCGAGGAGGATGAGCACGAGGAGAAATCCCTGAAGACATCGTTCAAGCTCAGGCCGAAGTCCAACATCTTTGGGTAGGGTCAGGGGGGAGGTGGGTGCCTGGACCAGAGTGCCCCAGGTTGTAGGTCGAAGCAGGCGCTTGTCTGAACTCGTGTGCTCGATGGAGGTGGGTCCCAGAGCCTTGCTGGAACCTGCAATTGGGTGGCTGGCAGCTGCCGAGGAGGTGGCTGCCTTGGTTGGGCCCTTAGTGCTGGAACAAGGGGCAGTGGGTGCGCTGAGAAACGCTGGGGTGCTTCTGGGTCAGAAATGTTTCATAAACCTCCTAGTATTAGCGAGCTGAGCGAGGGAAAGGAGAATGCAGATGTTCTACTCTTGTATTATCAACCAGTACTATAAATTGCTCATAACTTGCTATGTAAGAGCACCACCTCAGTAATCTGCAGGTGTATTTTAAGTTTCTTGTTAACAGCAATACCACCTGGCGCGGTGTGGAGTTGGTACCCAAAATGAGATCATATGTAACAGTTTCCTGTCAGAATCCAAATTTCAGTCCAGCAAAGACTTGAGTCTGTGTTGACTTTATGCATTGAAAATTGCCGGATTTGACATTGCAAGTAATAAGGAAAAAAAAAAAAAAGCATTGCACTGCAAACAAAGAATAAAGTTAGCTGTGTGCTGAAGTCTCTGCTGTCTGAGGTACTACTGAGCTTGCTTGTCACTGTTGGGATACTGATACAATGTAAGTGAAGAGTCTTTTATATATTTGGTATCTTATTTTGTCTTAGGCAAAGCAGTTTTATGTTAATCACTGTGAATTCTCAAGTGCCAGACCTAGCACAGTTCCGTTTATTAAGTCTGGTTAAGTCTTGTTACTGTTGTTTGTGTAACTCACTGCATTCAAAATCAGAAAATAGCGTTGTATGTGTTACATGTGGAAGTCGCTCTGTTCTAGAAAAGAGCACAGACACCATTGCATGCAATTTTCATGTGGTCCTGTAATGTAGAAGGTACAGATCTGCGTTTGCTAAAAACTCGGGTGCCAATCCCTTCAACTTACTTTGTGCAGAAATAGGAGAAGGAGAAAAGGAGCAGGGGAGGTACAAAGTGAATAACCAGAACTCTGGAGTTCCGTTCCTCTCAGTAAAAGCAATGTGATGCCATATACTCCAGGTGAGTGATGGCAGTGGTGTTGGAGTTCTTTTAAACTTGCATTTCTGGAGAAATAATAACCAAGGCTTTGAACATGCTATCTGTCTGCTAAAGCTTTCTGAGACCTTGAATCTTGTTTCTCTGCTTTAGTGGTAGCAATTCCAGTGAAATCTAGGAGACTCTCATTGAGAATGAGCTGTCCCTGGATTCTGAATGCTGCTCAAGGTAGAAGTTCAGCTGTGCTTAGATGTTTAAGGTACTGCCGGTCTCAATGCAACATTTGTCAAAGTGTGTTTCAAGTTGGCTTCCTCAGAATGTGTGTGCCTGCCCATCGGGTGGTTTTAACAGAAAGTACTCAGACTTCGACACGATATACCAATTCCAAACCTGAGACACTGATGAAGAACGTTCCGTAGCTGCTAGAACACTTCATGGGGAAACTGCTGCTGGGAGTGGTGCACTTTCAAGGTAACAGCTGTCTGTGGCTGTTGCTGGTGGCTTACGCTTTTAGTGACAGAGGAAGGGAGTGGCAGCGATTCATCTGTTTCAGACTTCCCATGCAGATAAATTACCAGTATCTGCACTTTGTGTCAAAACCTAATGAAAGTCAGTGTTTGCGTAAGCATGCAGGCAACATTTAAGTATTTCTAGGAATAGTTACATTAAAAATAACTGAAACTCTGTATAGGTGCTGGTCATTAATTTCATGCAAAAAGGCTAGAAATTATGCAGAGGTTTCGCTTTAATTTATAATTTATAGCTATAATATAGATTTCATGTGCCTTCATTTTGGGTTGGTTGCTACAAATACAGTGGATATAATCAGTCTTGCAAAGCACTTTGTCTTTACATCTGGACAGGACCAGGAATTTTTCCTCAGCCCTTCCTTTTTAGGCTGTAAGCTCATACAATGATTGAGTGATACACATAATTCTGCAGAGTTTGTTTCCACCAGAGGAGAGAATTAAATGCTGAAGTCCTAAACTCCCTTCGTTACGGAAGGTTTATAGCTTTTTAGGCTTCTGCAAAAAGATCTTCAATTGGACATTTGCAACATGAACTCTCTTCAACATGGCAGTTCTGAATTGAGTATGTTCCATGCAACTATCTACTTCCCAGTCTAATTAAAGTAACTTTCTGCTTACTGTTTCTTCATAGGATCTGTTGAGTGTTGTTCTCTTCACATGTGAATAGCAAATAATTGCACAAACATATTGAGTCTTAGCTACTGGGGCTTGGGAAAATTATTTGTGAGCTTTGATGCTTTGGGATTTGGAATACAGCACAGTTTGGGTTTTAAAAGACTAACTGGAACATCATTTTATCTTGTGTTATACAGTAGAACTTGGTAATTATTAAGGGAACTTGAAAAATGGTAAAAAGATGCATCATTCTCACTCACTGTTTGAAGTATTTAAGTGAAACTGTTTGCCAGCTCATATGGTGTAACTGACTGTTAGCTGATATGATATGGTCCAAAGCCTTTCTCAAGGTGGAGTGCCATCGCAGCAAGTCCAAACCCTAAAAAATTGGTACTGTTGATGTTAGAGATATATTGACAAATGGCTGGATAACCACTAGTGTCTGTTTGCTCTGCGGGACTAAAGCACTTTGATTTCACATTATGACTTGTCACATTCCACACGGTTACTTTTTATAACATGAGCTGAAACTTATGTTTTGTTTGGAAATAGGAAAGGTTTGATGCCCTGTTCCAGGATATCTACAATCTAAAGGTACTCTTGAGTCAAATATTTTTGGATACATTGCCTAGAAATATGTGAATTTGAAATAAAGTTGTATGGTACAGAAAACTGGAGCACTTACTGGTGTCTTTTTAATAGTACACTTGAATGTCCTGAATGTGTTTATTCACTTCCTGTGATAGTGTGCAAGGCAGCAAGACTGCGATGTAAACATTGGATATCTTTTATTGTATCTTATGCTTGTGATATTTTAGAGGCCTGGGAGCCTGTCACTTTTCATTAGTTCTGCTTTTTATGGGTGTCTTTCTCAATGGTTAGAAGTTTAAAATCTGCAAGTTTTTGTTTTACTGAAATAAAAACAGCCCATGAATTGTTAAGGCTTAAATCTACTCATGCGTGCTACATACTCAGGTATTGCTTGCATACTGGATGGTAAAACTATCTTATGGTTGAGCTAGATGATCCCACTGGTCTTTTCTAACCTTAATGATTGTATTCTTGTTTTAGATTTTCCTTTATTGT